CTCCTCCTTGTACCCGACCCCTCCCCTCCTAATACCCGACCCCCAACCCTCCTTGTACCCGACCTTCTCCCCCTCCTTGTACCCGACCCTTCTCTCCTCCATGTACCCGACCTTCTCCCCTCCTTGTACCCGACCCCTCCCCACCTAATACCCGACCCCCTCCCCTCCTTGTACCCGACCCCCTCCCCTCCTTGTACCCGACCCCCTCCCCTCCTTGTACCCGACCCCCTCCCTCCTAATACCCGACCCCCTCCTCTCCCGACCCCTCCTCCTTGTACCCGACCTCCAACCCTCCTTGTACCCGACCTTCTCCCCCTCCTTGTACCCGACCTTCTCTCCTCCATGTACCCGACCTTCTCCCCTCCTTGTACCCGACCCCTCCCCACCTAATACCCGACCCCCTCCCCTCCTTGTACCCGACCTTCTCCCCCCCTTGTACCCGACCCCCTCCCCTCCTTGTACCCGACCCCCTCCCCACCTAATACGCGAGTCCTCCTCTCCTAATACCCGACCCCCCCCTCCCCTCCTAATACCCGACCTTCTCTCCTCCTTGTACCCGACCCCTCCCCTCCTTGTACCCGTACCCCCTCCCCCCTCCCCTCCTTCTACCCTTGACCCCTCCCTCCCCTCCTAATACCCGACCTTCTCTCCTCCTTGTACCCGACCCCTACCCTTGACCCCCCCTCCCCTCCTAATACCCCCGACCCCCTCCCCTCCTAATACCCGACCCCCTCCCCTCCTTGTACCCGACCCTCTCCAAGCGCTCTGCCTCTTTCTCATCCCTCTCACAGGTCTCCGTGGGCTCATGCTTGCAGTCATGTTAGCAGCCCTCATGAGCAGTCTGGCCTCCATATTCAATAGCAGCAGCACTCTGTTCACCATTGATGTCTGGAAGAAGCTGAGACCCCGATCTGCGGAGAGGGAGCTGATTCTGGTTGGGAGGTGAGTGACGACTTGATGCCGAAAGAGAAATTCATCAGATGACAGTGGAGTCACCATCTGTATTTCTGCTTTTCAGGGTGTGGACCGTCTGCCTTGTGGCATTCAGCATAGCGTGGATTCCTGTGGTCCAGGCTGCACAAGGGGGGCAATTGTTTGACTACATCCAGTCCGTGGCCAGTTTCCTAGCACCGCCCATCGCCGCCGTCTTCTTCCTGGCCCTGTTTGTGAAGAGAGTGAACGAGCCGGTAAGACATTTCATATCACCACCAACAACGTGGTAATAAAGTGTTCCCCCTCCCCCACCTCCACACAGAAAGCATCATCACCTAAAAAAACAAGGTAATGGACCACGTATACTCTGCCTTCACCCATCCTCAGTCCTTATAGAGCCATGTGTAACCCCTCTGCCACCAACAATGTCTCAGCCACGTATCCCCTCCACCACCAACAATGCCTCAGCCACGTATTCCCTCCTCCACCCATAATGCCTCAGCCACGTATCCCCTCCTCCACCCATAATGCCTCAGCCACGTATCCCCTCCTCCACCCATAATGCCTCAGCCCCGTATCCCCTCCTCCACCCATAATGCCTCAGCCCCGTATCCCCTCCTCCACACATAATGCCTCAGCCACGTATCCCCTCCTACACTCATAATGCCTCAGACACATATTCCCTACGCCACCCATAATGCCTCAGCCACATATCCCCTCTGCCACCAACAATGCCTCAGCCACATATCCCCTCCGCCACCAATACCTTAGCCATATATCCCTTCGGCCACTCATAATGCCTCAGCCACATATCCCTTCCGCCACCAATAATGCCTCAGCCACATATTCCCTCCGCCACCAAAAAATGCCTCAGCCACATATCCCCTCCACCACCCATAATGCCTCAGCCACGTATCCCCTCCACCCATAATGGCTCAGCCACATCTTCCCTCCGCCACCAAAAATGCCTCAGCCACATATCCCCTCCACCACCTATGATGCCTTAACCACGTATCCCCTCCTCCACCCATAATGGCTCAACCACATATCTCCTCCGCCACCAACAATGTCTCAGCCACATATCCATTCCGCCACCCGTAATGCCTCAGCCACGTATCCCCTCCTCCACCCTTAATGCCTCAGCTACATATCCCCTTCGCCACCCATAATGCCTCAGCATTATATCCCCTCCTCAGCCACATATCCCCTCCCCTCCACCCATAATGCCTCAGCCACATATCCCCTCCGCCACCAACAATGCCTCAGCCACATATCCCCTCCGCCACCCACAATGCCTCAGCCACATATCCCTTCCGCCACCCATAATGCCTCAGCCACATATCCCTTCAGCCACTCATAATGCCTCAGCAACATATCCCTTCCTCCATCCATAATGCTTCAGCCACGTATCCCGTCCACAACCCATAATGCTTCAGCCACGTATCCCGTCCACAATCCATAATGCCTCAGCCACGTATCCCCTCCGCCACCCATGCCTCAGCCACGTATCCCCCCCCTCCACCCATAATGCCTCAGCCACGTATCCCCTCCTCCACTCATAATGCCTCAGCCACATATCCCCTCCGCCACCAAAAATGCCTCAGCCACATATCCCATCCGCCACCCACAATGCCTCAGCCACATATCACCTCCGCCACCCATAATGCCTCAGCCACATATCCCCTTCTTCACCCATAATGGCTCAACCACATATCCCCTCCGCCACCAACAATGCCTCAGCCACATATCCCATCCGCCACCCACATGCCTCAGCCACATATCCCCTCTGCCACCCATAATGCCTCAGCCACATATCCCCTCCGCCACCAACAATGCGTCAGCCACATATCCCCTCCTCCACCCATAATGCTCAAGCCACATATCCCCTCCGCCACCAACAATGCCTCAGCCACATATCCCCTACTTCACCCATAAAACGTCAGCCACATATCCCCTGCTGCCACCAACAATGCCTCAGCCACATATCCCCTCCTCCACCCATAATGGCTCAACCACATATCCCCTCCGCCACCAACAATGCCTCAGCCACATATCCCCTCCGCCACCAAGAATGCGTCAGCCACATATCCCCTCCGCCACCAAGAATGCGTCAGCCACATATCCCCTCCGCCACCAAGAATGTGTCAGCCACATATCCCCTCCGCCACCAAGAATGTGTCAGCCACATATCCCCTCCTCCACCAAGAATGCGTCAGCCACATATCCCCTCCGCCACCAAGAATGCCTCAGCCACATATCCCCTCCTCCACCAACAATGCCTCAGCCACATATCCCCTCCTCCACCATAATGGCTCAGCCACATATCCCCTCCCGCCACCAACAATGCCTCAGCCACATATCCCCTCCTCCACCCATAATGCCTCAGCCACATATCCCCTACTTCACCCATACTCCTTCAGCCACATAAAGCGATGGCAATGGCACCGCTCTGCCTCCGCCCATCTCAAGTCCTTCTAGCACCATGCTGATCCATGACACTCCACAGCCTATAATATTGCTCCCCTACTATACAGCACCCTCCCCCCACCTATCACTAATCATTACCGCCCCCCCTGCCATACTCTGAAGCCTGGTTTTCCTTGCAGGGGGCCTTCTGGGGTCTGATTGGAGGGCTGATTCTGGGTCTTTGTCGGATGGTGCCTGAGTTTGCCTTTGGATCGGGAAGTTGCTCCGCCCCCAGCTCCTGCCCTGCGCTCATCTGCGACGTTCATTATCTCTACTTTGCTATTATTCTCTTCTTCTGCTCGGCCGTAATTATCCTGGGCGTGTCCTACTGCACGCCACCAATCCCGGACAAGCAGGTGAGACGTACGGTGTGCTGGGGAAGGCAGGACAAGGGCAGGAAAATAAAAGATTTGAAGATCTTATAGTGAGTACAAATTACTGAGGGACATGGGAATTCGGAGTCGGGTTATAGTGCCACGTACAAGAGGTCACAACACTGGCATGCAGAAAGTTTGTACGCCCATCCCCTCGTAACTCCTCCTCTACCTGTAACCCCGCCTCTCTACTCGAAACCCCTCCACTTCCCGTACCTTGCCTCTACCCGTAACCCCTCCTCTAGCCATAACCCCTCCTCTTCCCGAAACCCCTCCCCGTAACCTTGCCTCTACCCGTAACCCCTCCTCTTCCCGAAACCCCTACCCGTAACCCCTCCTCTTCCTGTAACCCCTCCTCTTCCCGTAACCCCTCCTATACCCATAACCCCTCCTCTTCCTGTAACCTCGCCTCTACCCATAACCACTCCTCTTCCTGTAACCTCGCCTCTACCCATAACCCCTCCTCTTCCTGTAACCTCGCCTCTACCCGTAACCCCTCCTACCCATAACCCCTCCAATTCCCGTAGCCTTGCCTCTACCCGTAACCCCTCCTCTACCCATAACCCCTCCTCTTCCCGAAACCTTGCCTCTACCTGTAACCCCTCCTCTTCCTGTAACCCCTCCTATACCCCTAACCCCTTCTCTTCCCGTAACCCCTCCTATACCCATAACCCCTCCTCTTCCTGTAACCTCACCTCTACCCATAACCCCTCCTCTACCCATAACCCTCCTCTTCCTGTAACCCCTGCCTCTACCCGTAACCCCTCCTCTACCCCATATAACCCCTCCAATTCCCGTAACCTTGCCTCTACCCGTAACCCCTCCTCTACCATAACCCCTCCTCTTCCCGAAACCTTGCCTCTACCTGTAACCCCTCCTCTTCCTGTAACCCCTCCTATACCCCTAACCCCTTCTCTTCCCGTAACCCCTCCTATACCCATAACCCCTCCTCTTCCTGTAACCTCACCTCTACCCATAACCCCTCCTCTTCCTGTAACCCCTCCCCTATCCATAACCTCGCCTCTACCCGTAACCCCTCCACTACCCGAAACCTCGCCTCTACCTGTAACCCCTCCCCTACCCGTAACCCCGCCTCTACCCGTAACCTGGTCTCTACCCATAACCCGGTCTCTACCCATAACCCCTCCCCTACCCGTAATCCCTCCACTACCCGTAACCTTGCCTCTACCCGTAACCCCTCCCCTACTCGGGAGTCTTTAGTGTTGTGAGGACCAATTGGAGATGAGCTCCATCACCTGGGCCCTCCTGGAATGGGTGGGTTTATATGGGCACACTAGGGGGCGGTGAAGGTATATAACCCATAGGTTCCCGTGCCCAGTATTCATGGTTCAGGAATCTCATTGGTCAGTGTGGGTAACATTCCCCCGCCTCCTTCTCATCCCACAGTTGTATCGGTTGGTGTTCAGCCTTCGACACAGCCAGGAACCGCGCGAGGAGATGGGGAAGCCAGGTAATGTGACCAATCACAGCGCCAGCACTGCCACCATCCAATCACAATACAGACTCACAAACTGCAGACGCCATCTCAGTGCTCCTGCCCCAATCAGATGTACAGGTCACATGGGTGGTCACATGGGTATTGCCCTGGCACAGGTCACACAGGTATTGCCCCGGCAAAGTTCACATGGGGTGGTCACACAGGAATTGCCCCAGTACAGATCCCATGGGGTGGTCACACGGGTATTGCCCCGGTACAGATCACATGGGGTGGTAACACGGGTATTGCCCCGGTACAGGTCACACGGAGTGGTCACATGGATATGCCACGGCACAGGTCACAGGGGGTGGTCACACGGGTATTGCCCCTGTACAGGTCACAGGGGGTGGTCACACGGGTATTGCCACGGCACAGGTCACAGGGGGTGGTCACACGGTATTGCCCCTGTACAGGTCACAGGGGGTGGTCACACGGGTATTGCACCGGCACAGGTCACAGGGGGTGGTCACACGGGTATTGCCCCGGCACAGGTCACAGGGGGTGGTCACACGGGTATTGCCCCTGTACAGGTCACAGGGGGTGGTCACACGGGTATTGCCCCCGGCACAGGTCACAGGGGGTGGTCACACGGGTATTGCCCCGGCACAGGTCACAGGAGGTGGTCACACGGGTATTGCCCCCGCACAGGTCACAGGGGGTGGTCACATGGATATGCCACGGCACAGGTCACACGGAGTGGTCACATGGATATGCCACGGCACAGGTCACAGGGGGTGGTCACAGGGTATTGCCCCAGCACAGGTCACAGGGGGTGGTCACACGGGTATTGCCCCGGTACAGGTCACAGGGGGTGGTCACACGGGTATTGCCCCCGGTACAGGTCACAGGGGGTGGTCACACGGATATGCCCCGGCACAGGTCACAGGGGGTGGTCACACGGGTATTGCCCCGGCACAGGTCACAGGGGGTGGTCACACGGGTATTGCCCCGCACAGGTCACAGGGGGTGGTCACACGGGTATTGCCCCGGCACAGGTCACAGGGGATGGTCACACGGGTATTGCCCCGGCACAGGTCACAGGAAGAGGCGGAGACAACGGACACAATGATTATTTATTGAATTCAGTACAAAGTCCGATCACTTCATCCCCAGCATGGAGTATTGTTGTTATGGGTAACAGACTCCTCCTCCTAAGAGGGTGTGGTCAGCAGCCTTCCTTCCACACTCTGATTGGCTGATTATATGCAGGTCATTTTCCAGTCCCCATTGAGAGAATCTTAAAGGTCTCCGCCTCCCTCCAAGCAGTCACAGACAGTTTTTATTGCAGGTGAAGCAGATTCCATCCCCCTCTAATAAATGATCCATGTGATTGTCCACAGGAGGCGCTCAGGAGAAGGACCCCTCCTCCGCTCTGCCGGACATCCAGGAGGAGCCCAGAGAGGCGCGGCTGGTCAATGTGCACGCTGTGGTCATGATGAGTTGCGCCATCTTCCTGTGGGCGTACTACGCCTGACTCCGCCCATTGTTACCTATAATAATGTGCTACGGGGAGCCTTCGTCAGGAGGGAGGGGGATGTCCTGCAGGTTGGGGGAAGAGAATTTCAGTCTGCGCAGAGTACTCAGGAAGTGTTTGGGGGGTGCACAGCGCAATACAATGGGGGGATCCTCTGGAGACCACTTGAGGGTGATCTGGGCGGCATGGAGGTGAAGGAGAAGAGAGCGGGTGTGGGAGGAAGTGATGCCGAGAGAACGCAACACCGGCGCCGGAAGTTTCTGGGGAAATCAGACAAAAATGAGAATAAGGATCCCGCTGTGTGATGCACTATGTATAAGAAGGCCCCGCCCCCGCTGTGTGATGCACTATGTATAAGAAGGCCCCGCCCCCGCTGTGATGCACTATGTATAAGAAGGCCCCGCCCCCGCTGTGTGATGCACTATGTATAAGAAGGCCCCGCCCCCGCTGTGTGATGCACTATGTATAAGAAGGCCCCGCCCCCGCTGTGTGATGCACTATGTATAAGAAGGCCCCGCCCCCACTGTGTGATGCACTATGTATAAGAAGGCCCCGCCCCCGCTGTGTGATGTACTATTTACAATAAACAAGGCCCCGCCCCCACTGTGTGATCTATTATTTACAATAAACAAGGCCCCACCCCTGCTGTGTGATGTACTATGAATAAGAAGGCCCCGCCCCCGCTGTGTGATGTACTATGTATAAGAAGGCCCCACCCCCCGTGTGATGTACTATTTACAATAAACAAGGCCCCACCCCTGCTGTGTGAAGGGCTATTTACAATAAAAAGGCTCCGCCCCTGCTGTGTGATGGACTGTTTACAATAAACAAAGCCCTACCCCCACTGTGTGACGGACTATTTACAACAAGGCTCCACCCACCCTGTGTGATGCCCTCTGTGTAATAAAATAGGCACCGCCCCCGCTGTGTGATGATGTACACTGTGTAATAAACAAGGCACCGCCCCCGCTGTGTGATGATGTACACTGTGTAATAATCAAGGCTCCGCCTCTCTGTGTGATGATGTACACTGTGTAATAATCAAGGCTCCGCCTCTCTGTGTGTGATGATGTACACTGTGTAATAAACAAGGCACCGCCCCCCCGCTGTGTGATCATGTACACTGTGTAATAAACAAGGCCCCGCCCCCGCTGTGTGATCATGTACACTGTGTAATAAACAAGGCCCCGCCCCCGCTGTGTGATGATGTACACTGTGTAAAAATCAAGGCTCCGCCTCTCTGTGTGATGATGTACACTGTGTAATAATCAAGGCTCCGCCTCTCTGTGTGATGATGTACACTGTGTAATAAGGCTCCGCCTCTCTGTGTGATGATGTACACTGTGTAATAAGGCCCCCCGCCCCGCTGTGTGATGATGTACACTGTGTAATAAAAAAGGCACCGCCCCCGCTGTGTGATGATGTACACTGTGTAATAATAAGGCATTGCCCCCGCTGTGTGATGATGTACACTGTGTAATAAGGCTCCGCCCCCCCTGTGTGATGATGTACACTGTGTAATAAGGCACCGCCCCCCCTGTGTGATGATGTACACTGTGTAATAAGGCACCGCCCCCCCGCTGTGTGATGATGTACACTGTGTAATAAGGCACCGCCCCCGCTGTGTGATGATGTACACTGTGTAATAAGGCACCGCCCCCCCCGCTGTGTGATGATGTGTACACTGTGTAATAAGGCACCGCCCCCGCTGTGATGATGTACACTGTGTAATAAGGCACCGCCCCCGCTGTGTGATGATGTACACTGTGTAATAAGGCACCGCCCCGCGCTGTGTGATGATGTACACTGTGTAATAAGGCTCCGCCCCCGCTGTGTGATGATGTACACTGTGTAATAATCAAGGCTCCGCCCCCGCTGTGTGATGATGTACACTGTGTAATAAGGCACCGCCCCCGCTGTGTGATGATGTACACTGTGTAATAAGGCACCGCCCCCGCTGTGTGATGATGTACACTGTGTAATAAGGCACCGCCCCCGCTGTGTGATGATGTACACTGTGTAATAATCAAGGCTCCGCCCCCCTGTGTGATGATGATGTACACTGTGTAATAAGGCACCGCCCCCGCTGTGTGATGATGTACACTGTGTAATAAGGCACCGCCCCCGCTGTGTGATGATGTACACTGTGTAATAAGGTACCGCCCCCCCTGTGTGATGATGTACACTGTGTAATAAGGCACCGCCCCCCCCGTGTGATGATGTACACTGTGTAATAAGGCACCTCCCCCCCCGTGTGATGATGTACACTGTGTAATAAGGCACCTCCCCCCCGTGTGTGATGTACACTGTGTAATAAGGCACCGCCCCCCTGTGTGATGATGTACACTGTGTAATAAGGCTCCGCCCCCCGCTGTGTGATGATGTACACTGTGTAATAAGGCACCTCCAGCCCCCGCTGTGTGATGATGTACACTGTGTAATAAGGCACCTCCCCCCCGTGTGATGATGTACACTGTGTAATAAGGCACCGCCCCCGCTGTGTGATGATGTACACTGTGTAATAAGGCACCGCCCCCGCTGTGTGATGATGTACACTGTGTAATAAGCACCGCCCCCCCGCTGTGTGATGATGTACACCTGTGTAATAAGGCACCGCCCCCGCTGTGTGATGATGTACACTGTGTAATAAGGCACCCCCCCCCCCCCCGCTGTGTGATGATGTACACTGTGTAATAAGGCACCGCCCCCCCCAGCTGTGTGATGATGTACACTGTGTAAAAGGCACCGCCCCCGCTGTGTGATGATGTACACTGTGTAATAAGGCACCGCCCCCGCTGTGTGTTATGATGTACACTGTGTAATAAGGCACCGCCCCCGCTGTGTGATGATGTACTGTGTAATAAGGCTCCGCCCCCACTGTGTGAATGATGTACACTGTGTAATAAGGCACCGCCCCCGCTGTGTGATGATGTACACTGTGTAATAGGGCACCGCCCCCGCTGTGCGATGACGTACACTGTGTAATAAGGCTCCGCCCCCGCTGTGTGATGATGTACACTGTGTAATAATCAAGGCTCCGCCCCCGCTGTGTGATGATGTTCACTGTGTAATAAGGCACCGCCCCCGCTGTGTGATGATGTACACTGTGTAATAAGCAACCGCCCCCGCTGTGTGATGATGTACACTGTGTAATAAGGCACCGCCCCCCCGCTGTGTGATGATGTACACTGTGTAATAAGGTACCGCCCCCGCTGTGTGATGATGTACACTGTGTAATAAGGCACCGCCCCCACGTGTGATGATGTACACTGTGTTAATAAGGCACCTCCCCCCCGTGTGATGATGTACACTGTGTAATAAGGCACCTCCCCCCCGTGTGATGATGTACACTGTGTAATAAGGCACCGCCCCCCGCTGTGTGATGATGTTCACTGTGTAATAAGGCTCCGCCCCCTGTGTGATGATGTACTCACTGTGTAATAAGGCACCTCCCCCCCGTGTGATGATGTACACTGTGTAAATAAGGCACCTCCCCCCCGTGGGATGATGTACACTGTGTAATAAGGCACCGCCGCCGCTGTGTGATGATGTTCACTGTGTAATAAGGCACCGCCCCCGCTGTGTGATGATGTACACTGTGTAATAAGGCACCCGCCCCGCTGTGTGATGATGTACACTGTGTAATAAGGCACCGCCCCCCCGCTGTGTGATGATGTACACTGTGTAATAAGTGCAACCTCCATGGAGCCCATAAAATTTTCACACCGCCCCCGCTGTGTGATGATGTACACTGTGTAATAAGGCACCGCCCCCGCTGTGTGATGATGTACACTGTGTAATAAGGCACCGCCCCCCCGCTGTGTGATGATGTACACTGTGTAATAAGGCACCGCCCCCGCTGTGTGATGATGTACACTGTGTAATAAGGCTCCGCCCCCGCTGTGTGTGATGATGTACTGTGTAATAAGGCTCCGCCCCCGCTGTGTGATGATGTACACTGTGTAATAAGGCAACCGCCCCCGCTGTGTGATGATGTACACTGTGTAATAAGGCACCGCCCCCCTCCCTGTGTGATGATGTACACTGTGTAATAAGGCACCGCCCCCCCGCTGTGTGATGATGTACACTGTAATAAGGCACCGCCCCCGCTGTGTGATGATGTACACTGTGTAATAAGGCACCGCCCCCGCTGTGTGATGATGTACACTGTGTAATAAGGCACCGCCCCCCTCGCTGTGCGATGACGTACACTGTGTAATAAGGCTCCGTCCCCGCTGTGTGATGATGTACAGTGTAATAATCAAGGCTCCGCCCCCGCTGTGTGATGATGTACACTGTGTAATAAGGCACCGCCCCCCCCCGCTGTGTGATGATGTACACTGTGTAATAAGGCACCGCCCCCGCTGTGTGATGATGTACACTGTGTAATAAGGCACCGCCCCCGCTGTGCGATGACGTACACTGTGTAATAAGGCTCCGCCCCCGCTGTGTGATGATGTACACTGTGTAATAATCAAGGCTCCGCCCCCCCTGTGTGATGATGTACACTGTGTAATAATCAAGGCTCCGCCCCCGCTGTGTGATGATGTACACTGTGTAATAAGGCAAGGCTCCGTCCCCGCTGTGTGATGATGTACACTGTGTAATAATCAAGGCTCCGCCCCCGCTGTGTGATGATGTACACTGTGTAATAATCAAGGCTCCGCCCCCCGCTGTGTGATGATGTACACTGTGTAATAAGGCACCGCCCCCGCTGTGTGATGATGTACACTGTGTAATAAGGCACCTCCCCCCGTGTGATGATGTACACTGTGTAATAAGGCTCCGCCCCCGCTGTGTGTGATGATGTACACTGTGTAATAAGGCACCGCCCCCCCGCTGTGTGATGATGTACACTGTGTAATAAGGCACCGCCCCCGCTGTGTGATGATGTACACTGTGTAATAAGGCTCCGCCCCCCTGTGTGATGATGTACACTGTGTAATAAGGCACCGCCCCCGCTGTGTGATGATGTACACTGTGTAATAAGGCACCGCCCCCCGCTGTGTGATGATGTACACTGTGTAATAAGGTTATCCCCCCGCTGTGTGATGATGTACACTGTGTAATAAGGCACCGCCCCCCCCGTGTGATGATGTACACTGTGTAATAAGGCACCTCCCCCCCGTGTGATGATGTACACTGTGTAATAAGGCACCGCCCCCGCTGTGTGTGATGATGTACACTGTGTAATAAGGCACCGCCCCCGCTGTGTGATGATGTTCACTGTGTAATAAGGCTCCGCCCCCGCTGTGTGATGATGTACACTGTGTAATAAGGCACCTCCCCCCCGTGTGTGATGATGTACACTGTGTAATAAGGCACCTCCCCCCCGCTGTGTGATGATGTACACTGTGTAATAAGGCACCGCCCCCCTGCTGTGTGATGATGTTCACTGTGTAATAAGGCACCGCCCCCGCTGTGTGATGATGTACACTGTGTAATAAGGCACCGCCCCCGCTGTGTGATGATGTACACTGTGTAATAAGGCACCGCCCCCGCCCGTGTGATGATGTACACTGTGTAATAAGGACCGCCCCCGCTGTGTGATGATGTACACTGTGTAATAAGGCACCGCCCCCGCTGTGTGATGATGTACACTGTGTAATAAGGCACCGCCCCCGCTGTGTGATGATGTACACTGTGTAATAAGGCACCGCCCCCGCTGTGTGATGATGTACACTGTGTAATAAGGCACCGCCCCCGCTGTGTGATGATGTACACTGTGTAATAAGGCACCGCCCCCGCTGTGTGATGATGTACACTGTGTAATAAGGCACCGCCCCCGCTGTGCGATGATGTACACTGTGTAATAAGGCTCCGCCCCCGCTGTGTGATGATGTACACTGTGTAATAAGGCACCGCCCCCGCTGTGTGATGATGTACACTGTGTAATAAGGCACCGCCCCCCGCTGTGTGATGATGTACACTGTGTAATAAGGCACCGCCCCCGCTGTGTGATGATGTACACTGTGTAATAAGGCACCGCCCCCGCTGTGTGATGATGTACACTGTGTAATAAGGCTCCGCCCCCCGCTGTGTGATGATGTACACTGTGTATAATCAAGGCACCGCCCCCGCTGTGTGATGATGTACACTGTGTAATAATCAAGGCTCCCCCCCCGCTGTGTGATGATGTACACTGTGTAATAATCAAGGCACCGCCCCCACTGTGTGATGATGTACACTGTGTAATAAGGCTCCGCCCCCGCTGTGTGATGATGTACACTGTGTAATAAGGCACCGCCCCCGCTGTGTGATGATGTACACTGTGTAATAAGGCACCTCCCCCCCGTGTGATGATGTACACTGTGTAATAAGGCACCGCCCCCGCTGTGTGATGATGTACACTGTGTAATAAGGCACCGCCCCCGCTGTGTGATGATGTACACTGTGTAATAAGGCTCCGCCCCCCGCTGTGTGATGATGTACACTGTGTAATAAGGCACCGCCCCCGCTGTGTGATGATGTACACTGTGTAATAAGGCACCGCCCCCGCTGTGTGATGATGTACACTGTGTAATAAAGGCTCCGCCCCCCGCTGTGTGATGATTGTACACTGTGTAATAAGGCTCGCCCCCCGCTGTGTGATGATGTACACTGTGTAATAAGGCACCGCCCCCGCTGTGTGATGATGTACACTGTGTAATAAGGCTCCGCCCCCGCTGTGTGATGATGTACACTGTGTAATAAGGCTCCGGCCCCGCTGTGTGATGATGTACACTGTGTAATAAGGCACCTCCCCCCGCTGTGTGATGATGTACACTGTGTAATAAGGCTCCGCCCCCGCTGTGTGATGATGTACACTGTGTAATAATCAGGCTCCGCCCCCGCTGTGTGATGATGTACACTGTGTAATAAGGCTCCGCCCCCGCTGTGTGATGATGTACACTGTGTAATAATCAAGGCTCCCCCCCCGCTGTGTGATGATGTAATAAGGCACTGTGTAATAATCAAGGCTCCGCCCCCGCTGTGTGATGATGTACACTGTGTAATAAGGCTCCGCCCCCGCTGTGTGATGATGTACACTGTGTAATAAGGCACCGCCCCCCGCTGTGTGATGATGTACACTGTGTAATAAGGCTCCGCCCCCCGCTGTGTGATGATGTACACTGTGTAATAATCAAGGCTCCGCCCCCAGGACAGGAATAAACTCTGCATTTTCCTGATAAGATGTTATATCTGCCGCCCCCCATCCCCCGCCTGTTGGGACATTCTCCTGGCCACAGCCAGGCAAACAGCATTTCCAGAGGAGGGTCAGCAATGACATCTTACCTGTGGAGCCAGGCGCCCCCAGTGGGAGTATTTGTGGTCCCCCAGGATGGGGCAACTCAGGGCCAGAGCCAGGTGACTTCTCAGCTGATGCTTCACCCCTACAAAGAGCAGAAAATGACCGGTGTGAGAAGCCCCCCGCTGGAAGCTGCCATCCCCCAATCCTGGAGCCAGAAATGTCACAGCTTCTGTCTGAGGGTGTGCACACAGGTGAGAAGGGGGGGGTAATCTACAGGGCCCACTGAATGGGGTGGGGGAGGGAATCTACAGGGCCAACTGAATGGGGTGGGGGGGAGGGAATCTACAGGGCCCACTGAATAGGGAGGGGGGGTAATCTACAGGCCCACTGAATAGAGATGGGGGGGGGGGGGGTAATCTACAGGGCCCACTGAATGGGGGGGGGGGGGAATCTACATGGCCCACTGAATAGGGAGGGGGGGGAAAATCTACAGGGCCCACTGAACGGGGGGGGGGGGGGGGGGGGGGGGGGGGGGGGGGGGGGGCCCACTGAATAGGGGGGGGGGGGGAATCTACAGGGCCCACTGAATGGGGGGGGGGGGGGGAATCTACAGGGCCCACTGAATGGGGAGGGGGGGGGGAATCTACAGGGCCCACTGAATAATCTACAGGGGGGAGGGGGGGTAATCTACAGGGCCCACTGAATGGGGAGGGGGGGGGTAATCTACAGGGCCCACTGAATGGGCCCACTGGGGGAGGGGGGGTAATCTACAGGGCCCACTGAATGGGGAGGGGGGGGTAATCTACAGGGGGGGGGTAATCCCACAGGGAATGGGGGGGGGGGTAAATCTACAGGGCCCACTGAATAGAGAGGGGGGGGGGGTAATCTACAGGGTCCACTGAATGGGGTGGGGGAGGGAATCTACAGGGCCCACTGAATAGAGAGGGGGGGGGGGTAATCTACATGGCTCACTGAATGGGGGGGGGGCAATCTACAGGGCCCACTGAGGGGGAGGAGGGGAAGAGCGGACCTGTGATTGGCTGCAGCTCCAGCAGTGAGACTCCCGATCTTTCCTCCAGGGTGCGGTATTTGGTGACGGCCTCGTGGGGCGGAGCGACTGACCCGGAACCTCTGAACTGAGCCGTCCGAAGACACCCGGAACCGCGGGCACAGCGCCATCTGCAGGGGGGGGGGGGGGGACAGTGTCAGCCATCCTTCCCCCACAATATAGAGGAAAGGGGTTTGGGACCCGGGAAATGGGGCCCCCGGCTCACCTTGAAGTGTTTCTGTGGCCCCGGCGTCTCTTTCTCTATGATGGGAATGTCCAGGATCCCCTCCGGGGGGGTTGGGGCCCCCACACACAGGGCCCTGTAGAAGACACAATGTGACATGTGGGGGAGGGGAGGGGGTGACATGGGCGAGGTGCGGGAAATGTTCTCACCAGTAGACACGGCTCATCCGGTGTTCCCGCAGCGCACGCTGGACGCGGTCGGCAGCCTCCGCGCTCCTGGCCAGGAGTAACGCTCCACTGCTGTCCTTATCCAGCCGGTGACAGATCAACAGAGGCCCCGCCCCTCCAAACAACCAATGAGACAGAGCCGGGAGCATGGACACCAGACTGTGCTCTACGCCAGGGCCCCCTGAGAGGGGAGACAACAAGAAGGTCAGTCTGTGGGGGAGGAGTCAGTCATGTGATAGGGGAGGGCTCAGTGACATGGAGAGGAGGGGTCAGGGATGTTAGGGAGGGGTCTGTGACACAGAGGAGGAGGGGTCCGTGACGTGGAGGGGTCAGTGACATGGGAGAGGGGTCAGTGACATGGGAGGGGAGGGGTCAGACACGAGAGGGGAGGGGTCAGGGACACGAGAGGAGAGGGGTCCGTGACGTGGAGAGGTCAGTGACATGGGAGGGGTCAGTGATGTGGAGGAGGAGGGGTCCGTGAGGTGGAAGGGGTCCGTGAGGTGGAGGGGTCCGTGGAAGGGGTCAGTGACGTGGAGGGATCAGTGATGAGGAGGGGAGGGGTCCGTGACGCGGAAGGGGAGAGGTCCGTGACGTGGAGGGGTCAGTGACATGGGAGGGGTCAGTGATGTGGAGGAGAGGGGGTCCGTGATGTGGAGGGTTCAGAGATGTGGAGGGGAGGGGTCTGTGATGGGGAGGGGTCTGTGAGGTGGAAGGGGAGGGGTCCGTGAGGTGGAGGGGTCAGTGACGTGGAGGGGTCAGTGACACGGGAGGGGTCAGTGACGGGAGGGGTCAGTGACACGGGAGGGGAGGGGTCTGTGACACGGAAGGGGAGGGGTAAGTGACATGGGAGGGGTCAGTGGGAGGGGTCAGTGACACGGGAGGGGAGGGGTCCGTGTGAGCGTGGGAGGAGTCAGTGGGTGAAGGGGAGGGGTCCGTGACACGTGGAAGGGGAGGAGTGAGGTGAAGTGGAGTGAGTCCGTGAGGAGGTGTCAGTGACGTGGAGGGGACCGTGACGTGGAGGTCCAGTGAGGGTGGAGGGGAGGGTGACGTCAGACGAGGGGTCCGTGAGTGAAGGGGAGGGGTCCGTGAGGTGGTAAGTGACGGGAGGGGTCCGTGAGGTGGAAGGGGAGGGGTCCGTGAGGGGAGGGGTCCGTGAGGTGAGGGGGGGTCCGTGAGGTGGAGGGGAGGGGTCCGTGAGTGAGGTGGAAGGGGAGGGGTCCGTGAGGTGGAAGGGGGGGGTCCGTGAGGTGGAGGGGTCAGTGAGGTGGAAGGGGAGGGGTCAGTGATGTGGAGGGAGGGAGGGGTCCGTGAGTGAGGGAAGTCATGGGGGAGGGGTCAGTGTGGACATGGGAGGGGTCCGTGACGTGGAGGGAGGGGGGGTCAGTGAGGTGGAAGGGGAGGGGTCCGAGCTGAGTGACATGGGGAGGGGTCAGTGATGTGGAGGGGTCCGTGAGGGATCCGTGAGGTGGAAGGGGGGGGTCCGTGAGGGGGGGAGGGGTCATTGGACCTGGGAGGAGTCAGTGATGTGGAGTGGAGGTCAGGGGAGGGGGTGACGTGTGTGGAGGGGAGGGGAGGGGTCAGTCAGAGGTGGAAGGGGAGGGGTCAGGTGGAATGGGTAGGGGTCAGTGATGTCAGTGAGGGGGAGGGGTCAGGGAGGGGTGGAGGGGAGGGGTCAGGGAGGGTCAGTGACATGGATGAGGGGTCAGTGACATGGGAGGGGTCCAGTGGTGTGGACAGGGGGGTGGAGGGGTCAGTGAGGGTGAATGGGGGGAGTCAGTGATGTGAAGGGGGAGGGATCCGTGAGGGGAGGAAGGGGGGGGGGATCCGTGAGGTGGGGAGGGGTCAGGGGGGGGGGGGGGATCCGTGAGGTGGAAGGGGGGGGGGGATCCGTGAGGTGGAAGGGGGGGGGGGGGGTCCGTGAGGTGGGAGGAGTCAGTCCTGTGGAGGGGTCATTGACCTAGGAGGAGTCAGTCATGTGGAGGGGAGGGTCATTGACCTGGGAGGAGTCAGTGATGTGGAGTGATCAGTGATGTGGAGGGGTCGTGGGAGGAGTCAGTAACTGGGAGGGGTCAATGTGGTCTCACCGTGGGCGGCCAGTCCAGGCGGTTTGTTGATGAGGAGTAGCCCCGCCTCCTCCGGGATGACGTAGCTCCTCAGGTCTCTCAGACTCGGTCGGCTCACCTATGGAGAGATGGGAGGGGGAGGTGAGAGGAGAGAAGTGTAATCAGAACTGTCCGTGTTCCCGGATGACAATCACCTGACTGCGCTCCGCCGAGCTCTTCTCCGCTCTCAGCCGCTCCACCAACCTCCGGGCACCGCTTGTCCCCCTGGCCGCCGCCATCTTCTCCGGCGAGGAATGACGACGTCACATCCGGCGCGTAATCCTTCCGCCAGAAGTGAGGTACAATGGCCGCAGAGTGGAGCTCCTCCCTCCACAGGAAACACGTGACCTCCACGGAGAGGTTGAACCGTTTGGCTGACAGAGCGGAGTCTGCAGATCCCACAAGGAGACCCGGAGAGATCGGCGATATTCTCGGGAGGGAGCGGAGACGCCGCATACGGTGACGACACACAGAGGGCCGATGTACTCGGGGGAGAGAAGAACTTCTGACCGCTGGAAACGGAGGAGAAAGATGACAGTGTAGCCCGCCCCCCTCCGTGCGTTCCCGTCCCCCTCCCGCGTTCCCGTTCCCCTGTTCCCGTTCCCCCGTTCCCATCGCCCTCCTGCGTTCCCGTCCCGCCTTTCCCATCCCCCTCCTGCGTTCCCGTCCCCCTCCCCGCGTTCCCGTCCCCCCTTTCCCGTCCCCCCTCCCCGCGTTCCTGTCCCCCCCCGTCCCCCCCGCCTTTCCCGTCCCCCTCCCCGCGTTCCCGTCCCCCCTCCCCGCGTTCCCCCCGTCCCCCCTTTCCCGTCCCCCCTCCCGCGTTCCCGTCCCCCTCCCCAGCGTTCCCGTCCCCCCTCCCGCGTTCCCGTCCCCCGCCCGCCTTTCCCCGTCCCCCCCCCGCGTCCCGCCTTTCCCGTTCCCCTCCCGTCCCCCCTCGCCCTCCCGCGTTCCCATCGCCCTCCCGCGTTCCCGTCCCGCCTTTCCCATCCCCCTCCCGCGTTCCCGTCCCCCCTTTTCCGTCCCCCTCCCAGCGTTCCCGTCCCCCCTTTCCCGTCCCCCTCCCAGTGTTCCCGTCCCCCCTCCCAGCGTTCCCGTCCCACCTTTCCCGCCCCCCGCCCCCGCCCCTCGTTTAGTCCTGCGTTCCCGCCCCCCCTCCCGCATTCCCGTCCCCCGCCCGCCTTTCTCGTCCCGCCTTTCCCGTCCCCCGCCTGCGTTCCCGTCCCGCCTTTCCCCTTCCCCTCCCGTCGCCCTCCCGCGTTCCCATCGCCCTCCTGTGTTCCCGTCCCGCCTTTCCCGTCCCCCTCCGCGTTCCCGTCCCCCCCTTTCCGTCCCCCTCCCAGCGTTCCCGTCCCCCCTTTCCCGTCCCCCCTTTCTCCCAGCGTTCCCGTCCCCCCTTTCCCGTCCCCCCCTCCCAGCGTTCCCGTCCCCCCTCCCGCGTTCCCGTCCCCCCCTTTCCCGTCCCCCTCCCGCGTTCCCCGTCCCCCCCTCCCGCGTTCCCGCCCCCCCCCCCGCGTTCCCGTCTTTCCGCCCGCGTTCCCGTCCCGCCTTTCTTGTTCCCGTCCCGCCTTTCCCCGTCCCCCGCCCGCGTTCCCGTCCCGCCTTTCCCCCGTCCCCCTTTCCGCCCCCGTCCCGCCTTTCCCGTCCCCCGCCCGCGTTCCCGTCCCGCCTTTCCCGTCCCCGTCCCGCCTTTCCCGTCCCCCGCCCGCGTTCCCGTCCCCGCCTTTCCCGTCCCCCGCCAGCGTTCCCGTCCCGCCTTTCCCGCCCCCCGCCCGCGTTCCCGTCCCGCCTTTCCCGCCCCTCCTGCGTTCCCGTCCCGCCTTTCCCCGCCCCCCGCCCGCGTTCCCGTCCCGCCTTTCCCGTCCCCCGCCCCCCGCGTTCCTTTCCCGTCCCCCGCCCGCGTTCCCGTCCCGCCTTTCCCGTCCCCCGCCCGCCCGTTCCCGTCCCGCCTTTCCCGTCCCCCGCCCGCGTTCCCGTCCCGCCTTTCCCGTCCCCCGCCTTTCCCGTCCCGCCTTTCCCGTCCCCCCCCCCGCGTTCCCGTCCCGCCTTTCCCGTACCCCGCCCGCGTTCCCGTCCCGCCTTTCCCGTCCCCCGCCCGCGTTCCCGTCCCGCCTTTCCCGTCCCCCGCCCGTGTTCCCGTCCCCCCCCGCCCGCGTTCCCGTTCCCTTCCCCGCCTTTCCCGTCCCCCTCCCGCGTTTCCCGTCCCCCTCCCGCGTTCCCGTCCCGCCTTTCCCGTCCCCCGCCTGCGTTCCCGTCCCCGCCTTTCCCATCCCCCGCCTGCGTTCCCGTCCGCCTTTCCCGTCGCCCTCCTGCGTTCCCATCGCCCTCCTGCATTTCCCCGTCCCCCTCCTTGCGTTCCCGTCTCGCCTTTCCCGTCCCCCCTCCTTGCGTTCCCGTCTCGCCTTTCCCGTTCCCCCCCCCCTCCTTGCGTTCCCGTCTCGCCTTTTCCCGTCCCCCTCCTTGCGTTCCCGTCCCGCCTTTCCCGTCCCCCGCCTGCGTTCCCGTCCCGCCTTTCCCGTCCCCCGCCTGCGTTCCCCCCCCCCGCTCTTTCCCGTCCCGCCTTTCCCGTCCCCCGCCTGCGTTCCCCGTCCCGCCTTTCCCGTCGCCCTCCTGCGTTCCCATCGCCCTCCTGCATTCCCGTCCCCCTCCTTGCGTTCCTGTCTCGCCTTTCCCGTCCCTCCTCCTTGCTTTCCCGTCCCCCCTCCTGCGTTCCCGTCCCGCCTTTCCCGTCGCCCTCCTGCGTTCCCGTCGCCCTCTGCGTTCCCGTCGCCCTCCTGCGTTCCCGTCTCCCTCCTGCGTTCCCGTCGCGCCTTTCCCGTTCCCGTCGCCCTCCTGCGTTCCCGTCGCACCTTTCCCGTCGCCCTCCTGCGTTCCTGTCGCGCCTTTCCCTCCTGCGTTCCCGTCCCCACTGACCACCGAATGGAAAAGAGAGAATTGGCGGCAAACAGCATGGGGTCCCCCCCCCCCTCCCATCAGAACCGAGCCCTTCGGGGGTCCCCCCCTCCCATCAGAACCGAGCCCTTCGGGGGTCCCCCCCCTCCCATCAGAACCGAGCCCTTCGGGGGTCCCCCCCTCCCATCAGAACCGAGCCCTTCGGGGGTCCCCCCCTCCCATCCACACCAAGCCCTTCGGGGGTCCCCCCACCATCCATACCAGACCCTTATCCGAGCATGCAGCCCCAAGTGACGTGGTATCAGGAACACGGAGAACTTGTAATGATTTTCTGGCTTCCAGGATTATTGGCTCCTGATTGGTGAAGCTCATCTCCTTGGCCTACAAGGATTGGCTGTGCCGAGGGGTGTCACAATCGTGGTGTCAGACCCCAGCCCTTCTCACCAAACTCATGACCGAAGGACTAGCCAATCTAAAACCGCGATGTCGCGTGCATAACAATGCCACACCCAGCTGCACCCTGCACAACGATTTTTCAGCTAATGGACCACAATCGATGTACCCGCAGCCTGGGAGCGATTGTTACTGGGTCAGGATAATTACACAATTAACCCTTCACACTGCCACCACCTCCTTTTTATACAGAGAAAGAGGAACCGCTGCGATATCAGCAATAACACTATAATTGTTGAGGTAATCATCTGTATAACACGGTCACCGCTGGCCGGTTACACAGAGGGTTAAACAAACACAGTAGCATTCTCTTTAGAGGCACGGATTCGTAAATTGCAATACAGAGCTATAGAAACAGTTCAACACTTTCAGAAGGAAAAATTTATTACTAAAAGGTCAAACGGGTGCAATAAAAATATTTACAGAAAAGATGTAACTAAGATATATATAAATATACAGAGACTAACAGCACAGCAAAGAGATATCGGAGAGAGGTGAAAGGGTTCAGGTACTTGCCAAACTCCTGGGTTAGCAGATCCAAGTTTCAGAGCAAAAGGGCACGGGTCTCCCCAGGTGGTACTGATGTTAAAATGGGAGACGTCTTCAACTTACACTCTTAGGACTGACGGCCTGTTTTGTAGTCCCCAGTAGGGGGTGGCTCTGACGTCAAGGACCAATACCCTGCTTAGGGTGTGGAGGTCTGGGCGGATACCTCAACTAGAGCCAAAATCTCCCATAACTTTCCAGCTGCACAAGTGACATTCCACCCGCAGGTAGATTATTATGCAGACAAGTCTGAGGATTGATTAGATATGAATTATGAAATTATTCACAAGATCTATTTTTCTGCTTTTCTATGTATGCGAGACAAGGAGAGTGACCTATCAAACTTCGCCTTCTCGTGGCCAATCTGACATATGTCCGGTTTTTATGTAAGTCTCTCGTATTCAAAGATATGGAAATGGGAAAGATGGATTTTAACAAAGATTGTCGGATTCTGTCACCTACGCTGGGTTGGGTTTATTAGGTTGGAATCTCACCTCCTGGGAAAGCTGCCTCCTCTCTTCCGAGGTGTTACCATTTGCAGGTTCTGTGGACAGAGAGGCCCCGGCTCCCTTGGGGGGCTTTATAGCTCCTATGACCCTCCTGTGACATTCCCAACTCACACACTGGCCCAAATGGCGCTGGGCCTCTCCGATAGGGAGGGGGGGAGAATGAGGGAGAAATAGATTTGTCAGGAGGGTTAATCTCTTTGCCAAGATGGAGGTTGAATCCAAAATGGTTGAACCGTGTCCATCTCTGGGTATACACTGTTACGGGGGGGTCAGTTCTGTCCCCCCGAAGGGTCTGGACTTTGTGAGCGGGAGCAGGCCATGTGCCCAGACACTACAAAGCAGCCACGTGGGGGCCCATACATACCTTCATGGCTCATATCTGTATAGATGTCTTCATGACCGTTGGGTTTGGCTGAGGCATCCAGGATTCGGCTTCGTAGCCACAATGGAGGAGTGTGCAGCATTATCCCTCCGGGTGGCTTCTTACTTCCCAGCTGGGCTGACATGGAGCCGTCCGGAGAACGGAACATTGAAGGACCGTTACCGTAATTTTCCTCTACTGATGGCTCCATGTCAGCAAATTCCCACCCAAGTTGGTAGGTCTACTTACAGGACACTGAGGCTGCGGGTCCTGCCAACATGGGGGGCGAGGTGGGGCCCTTACCCAGCTGGGCTGACATGGAGCCCGTCAGGAAAGGAAAATTATGGTATCATTCAATTTCCCCGAGGAGAGCCAACGCGTCACCACCAACTCAGACATGGGAGATGACGCGTCACACCACCAACTCAGACATGGGAGATGACGCGTCACCACGGAACCAGACACGGGAGAAGACACATCACCACCGGGCCATACACGGGAGAAGACACGTCACCACCGACCCAGACACGGGAGAAGACGCGTCACCACCAACTCAGACATGGGAGATGACGCGTCACCACGGAACCAGACACGGGAGAAGACACATCCCCACCGGGCCATACACGGGAGAAGACACGTCACCACCGACCCAGATACGGGAGAAGAAGCGTCACCACCAACTCAGACACGGGAGAAAATGCGTCACCACCGACCCACACATGGGAGATGACGCGTCACCACGGAACCAGACACGGGAGATGACGCGTCGCCACGGGACAGGGCGCGTAGCCACGGGGCCCGGACAGGGCGCGTAGCCACGGGGCCCGGACAGGGCGCGTAGCCACGGGGCCCGGACAGGGCGCGTAGCCACGGGGCCCGGACACGGGACAGGGCGCGTAGCCACGGGGCCCGGACACGGGACAGGGCGCGTAGCCACGGGCCCCGGTACACGGGACAGGGGGCGCGTCGACCACCCCGGACACTGGAGAGGTACCTTTACGCCACACGGGGCCGGACACGGGAGAGGGCGCGTCGCCACGGGGCCCGGACACGGGAGGACGCGTCGCCACGGGACCGGGACAGGGCGCGTAGCCACGGGGCCCGGACACGGGACAGGGCGCGTAGCCACGGGGCCCGGACACGGGACAGGGCGCGTGGACACGGGGAGAGGACGCGTCGCCACGGGCCCGGACTCGGGAGAGGACGCGTCGGCCCGGACACGGTAGAGGACGCGTCGACACGGGAGAGGACGTGTCCAATAATTCCGCTCACTAATAGTCGTCCAATAATTCCACACACATCGATATTCTCGTAAGAAAGCCAAATCTTCACTTTTACTTCATTGAATATTCAGTAATGAATCCTCAATTGTGCGCAGTGTAGGTTCTGCAGATCTCCTATCGGTAGATGTGTCGGGGGTGTGGCCCCTCCCTGTTGTCACATTCTCAGCTAAAAATGGGCCCCAGACATCCCTGGAGGGTTACACAGCATGTTCTATATGTGAGAGAACTGTAGAGTGCAGGAAATGAGGGGGACATGAATTGGGGACACCCTTCTATACCCCCCATTATACTCCGACTCTGCCCTCCTACACCCCCCTCACTATACTCCACTCTCCGCCCTCCTACATCCACCCAATACTAGGACCTGACTCCGCCCTTCTACACCCCCACTATACTCCAATTCCGCCCTCCTACATCCACCCAATATTAGGACCTGGCTCCACCCTCCTACAACCCCCACTATACTCCGCCCTCCCTACATCCACCCAATATTAGGACCTGGCTCCACCCTCCTACAACCCCCACTATACTCTGCCCTTCTAACTCCACCCAATACTAGGATCTGGCTTCACCCTTCTGCACCCATTACTCCGCCCTCCTACATCCACCCAATACTAGGACCTGGCTCCGCCCTTCACCCCCCACTACTCTGCCCTCCTACATCCACCCAAAACTAGGACCTGACTCTGCCCTTCCACACCCCCACTATTCTCCGACTCCGCCCTCCTACATCCACCCAATGCTAGGACCTGGCTCCGCCCTTCTACACCCCCACTATACTCCGACTCCGCCCTTTCTACATCCACCCAATACTAGGACCCTGGCTCCGCCCTTCTACACCCCCCACTATATTCCGACCTCCTACATCCACCCAATACTAGGACCTGGCTTCCGCCCTTCTACATCACCCCACCAACTAACTCTATACTCCGACTATACGCCCTCTAGTACATCCACCCAATACTAGGACCTGGCTCCACCCTTCTAATACCCCCACTATACCATCCCCTGCCCTCCTACATCCACCCAATACTAGGACCTGGCTCCACCCTTCTACAACCCCCCACTCGGCTCCACCATTCTAAAACCCTCCTACAAATAAGACCCCTTCACACCTTGTACATCCACTATTTACCCCCCCCCCACCCACTACCATACCCCAGCTCCACCCTTCTATACCCCCCCCTCATACCATACCCCCGGCTCCACCTTTTCCCCACTATAAAACCCCCCCACACTATACATACCACCCTATGGCTCCACCCTTGTACATCCACCCTATATTAGGCCCCTGGCTCCACAACCCACTATACCATACCCTGGCTCCACCCTTCTACACGCCCACTATACCATACTCAAACCGCGGCTCCACCTTTCTACACCCCCACTATACCATACCTCGGCTCCACCCTTGTACATCCACCCTATATTAGGCCCTGGCTCCACCCCCACTATACCATACCCCCTTGGCTCCACCCTTCTATAGCCCCTCACTACCATAAAACCAGGTTCACAATACCATTATACAAATAAAACCTACCCTCCTACACCCCCAGCTCCACCCTTGTACAATCCACCCTATATTAGGCCCTAGCTCCACCCCCACTATACCAATACCCTGGCTCCACCCTTCTATAGCCCCTCACTACCATAACCAGGTTTCACCCTCCCTACACCCCCCGCTCCACCCTTGTACATCCACCCTATAATTAGGCCCTAGCTCCACCCCACAACCACTATACCAAACCCTGGGGCTCCACCCTTCTACACCCCCACTATGCCATAAGCACCACCAACGCGGCTCCACCCTTCTACACAACCCCCACTAACTACCATACCCTCGGCTCTAAACTACTACCCTTGTACTAGGCTCTGGGGCTCCACCCTCCACTATACTAATACGCTGGCTCCACCCTTCTACACCATAGCTCACCCTTCTGTAAGGAATGACAACCCACGGTAAACGTGAAGCAACATTGGATGGAATTTTACAGAATTTATTACAGAAAACAAAGCTCCTCCTACGGCTGGCCTATCAGATGGATCCAGAGCTCCTTGTGAAAAGTTTCTGACGGAAGCTGCATTAGGCTGGTCATATCCTCTGACGCTACAAAACCCTATAAAAGTCTATACGCCCGCCCATGGGAGGGTCAGCAGCTTCCATTGGTGGCATCTCCTGGGTTGGTTGAGTGGGTGGTCCTCTGCTATACTGGCTCCTCCTCTGTGCTGGGGGTTTCCTGACCGCACTCTCTTCCTCTCTATTTAGGCGTTCTCGTTGGTTTTCCTGACTGCTGAGCTCGACGCCCTCCGTATTCTGTCTGCCCGTATCTCTCCTCCAGGGGGGGCGCCACTAGCCTCCCACGTTTAATGTAGTGCTGCACTCTCTCCTCCAGACCCTGACACAGCGCCCTCTTCATCAGTGGAGTGTAGGTGCGCGGGCGCTCACACCCCACAATCTCCACCAGGCCTCTGCTGTGACTGACCACACCTCCGTCTGATGGCTACTCCACGGCATTGGCTCCTGACCTGGGGAGGAGGGGCATAATATTAGAGGGGCAGGGCATAAATCCTTACCACTTCCAACTCCACTGTGCAGAGACTCCTGCCTGGAAAGGGGGCACAGTACTAGTAGGTGGGGCATAAATGCTGGCCACTCCCATCTCATACTGACTCCATGGCACCTGAGCTGGAAGGAGGGGCATAGTATTACAGAGGGTGGGGCATAGTTCCTGGTCACTCCCCCCATCTCATACTGAATCAATGGCATAGGGTCCCGAGCTGGTGAGGGAGGACGCTCTGCGATCTTGTCTTTAACTAATAAAGTTTACAAAATGCTGTCATCAGGGTGTGACCAGTTTTCTGTGCGCTGCTTGGGGCCCTCCGAGAGGAAGATTTCCTCTACCTGGTGGAAACGGCCTCCATTGTATGCCTGGCCAATCCTGGAGCGCCATCTGCAGGGCTTAGAGTGGTCCCCCATACCAGAGGTGTGCTCCCTTCCCTCCATTACACCCCCTCATCCCCCCCCCCCTCCCGGTATATCCTTCCTCCCCTCCTGGTATAATCCTTTCTTCCCCCTCCTCATATCCTTCCTTCCCCCCTCCCCTCATATCCTTCCTTTCCCCCCCTCCTCCTCCCCCCCACCCCTCCCGTTACGTCCTCCTCCCCCCCCCCCCCCCTCATATCCTTCCTTTCCCCCCCTCTCCCCCCCCCTCCTCATATCCTTCCTTTCCCCCCCTCCCCTCATTATACCTCATATCCTTCCTTTCCCCCCCTCCTCCTCCCCCCACCCCTCCCGTTACGTCCTTTCTTCCCCCCCCCCCCCTCCCATTATACCCTTCCCCCCCCTCCCTCCCATTATACCCTTCCTCCTCCCCCCCCCCCTCCCATTATACCCTCCCTCCCATTTATACCCTTCCTCCCCCCCCCTCCCTCCCATTATACCCTTCCTCCCCCCCCCTCCCTCCCATTATACCCTTCCTCCCCCCCCCCTCCCATTCCATTATACCCTTCCTCCCCCCCCCCCCCCCTTATACCCTTCCTCCTCCCCCCCCCCCCTATACCCTTCCTCCCCCCCCTCCCATTATATCCTTCCTCCCCCCCCCCCTCCCATTATATCCTTCCTCCCCCCCCCCCCCTTATACCCTTCCTCCCCTCCCATTATATCCTTCCTTTTATTCAGTTTAGGTAGGGTGCGCCCTGGCAGGTCTGAAGACAGCTGTACTCTACAGGCTCCGCCCCATGGTAGGTCCGGCTTTGGTACACATAAGGGGACACACACAGGCTACCATGGCAATAAAAGGTTGATTTCCCACATCTGTGACTTCTTACATTACAATCAGTGTCTGTGTATAAATAGTCGGTGATTTTGTTCGCTCTCACGTGGCTGCACTGAGCAGGGTAAGATACTGAGCCATGGGGTGCAGAAAAGAACCATCAAAAGATCTGCGTAACAAGGTCATGGGACTTTATAAAGATGGAAAAAGATAACCAAAGCCTTGACTACGCCGGTCAGTGCTGTTCAATCACCTATTAAGAAGTGGAAAATCCCGGATCTCTTGTCACCAAGCCAAGGTCAGGTAGACCAAGAAAGATTGACGCCACAAGTGCCAGAAGAATTGTTCTGGATACAAAGAACCCCCACAGGGAACCTCAGGAGAAATACAGGCGGCTCTGGAAAAGGACGGCGTGGTTGTTTCAAGGAGCACAATATGAAGATACGTGAACAAAACTGAGCTGCATGGTGGAGTTGCCACAAAGAAGCCCGGTTACAATATGGCCCGGTTACAATATGACACATTGACACGTCTCATAGCTTCTGGCACTCTGTAATCTGGAGTGACGAGACCAAACTACAGCTTTATGGTCACGACCACAAGTGCTATGTCTGGAGAGGGCCAACAGTGACAAGAAGACCATCCCCACTGTGAAGCATGGTGGTGAGTGACAAGAATACCATCCCACTGTGAAGCATGGTGGTGAGTGACAAGAATACCATCCCACTGTGAAGCATGGTGGTGAGTGACAAGAATACCATCCCACTGTGAAGCATGGTGGTGAGTGACAAGAATACCATCCCCACTGTGAAGCATGGTGGTGAGTGACAAGAATACCATCCCCACTGTGAAGCATGGTGGTGAGTGACAAGAATACCATCCCCACTGTGAAGCATGGTGGCAGCTCACTGATATTTTGGGGTATGAGCTCTAAAAGCACGGGGAATCTTGTGAAAATTGATGGCAGGATGAATGCAGCGTGATATCAGAAAATACTGGCAATCTGCATTTTTCTGCAGGAAAGCTGCCCATGGGACTCTCCTGAACTTTCCAGCAGGACAATGACCCCGAGCACAAGGCCTAGCTGACCCTCCAGTGGTCACAGCAGAGACAGGTGAAGGTTCTGGAGTGGCCATCACAGTCTCCTGACCGTCATATCATCGAGCCGCTCTGGGGAGATCTCAAATGTGCAGGTCATCCAAGACCACCAAAGACTTTGCATTGCCTGGAGGCGTTGTGCCGAGACGAATGGGTGGCTCTACCACCGGCAAGAAATTCGGGGGCCTCATAGACTATTACAGAAGACGGCATGCTGTCATTGATGCTGAAGGGGGGTCTGCACAGGATTGAGGACTAAGGGGGTGCAGACTATTGACCAGGGGGCGTGTCAATGGTTGACTTGTCGCCATGTTCTGGTTTATGATTGGCCCATTCTGGTATCACCTTCAGGTACAGAATAGGAATCCCAGAAGAGACACAAGAAATGGGTTTTTGGGCTCCCTCCTCGTCCGTCCTGTATATTCCCGATTCTCCAAGGGGTGGCGCACTTCACCACACCTGTATGAAATGAGCCCCAGCAGATCTGAATGGACAGGCACTGGAGTCACTGGAAGGGTGGGGGAGGTTCCTCTTGCTCTGGTGTGATCAGGCTGGGCTCTAGCTCCCTAAAGGGGAGGAGTAAGGAGCAGTCTACTTACCTGCATGTTCCTGCTCTGAGAGAGGGGAGTTCATATCATTCATCTCAAAAGATCACCCAACAGTCCTCTCCTCCCAGGACCTCCTTCTCTCTCATCCTCTGGAACTCCCTACCCCAATCATGGACCCTTGTCTGGGTTCGGGTGGCTGGGGGACCCCTGCCCGGGTTTCCGGATCTAAAAATGTGGAGAAGCTAGGCAGGCTCCTCACCCCAGCATTGGGCAGTGAGAGTGGTTGAGGGACGTTCATGCTCTCGTGTGAGGATATCCAGAGAGATCATAGGGTGGTGCCATCAGGAAGTATCTGGGAACAATTTCATCTTCTCCAATGAGAAGCCGGGGGATCTGGGCAGCATGCATGCGGACATTACCTGTATCCATAGCAACCGGCACGGAGTCCAGACACTGCAGCGCCATTCGCAGGATCTGCGTCTTCATAGCTTCCTGTGTCCACATCCGTTGTAGGTGAGACATTGTGATGGTGTGAACGTCCTTCTCACTGACCCAATCCACCTCATCAAACTGGCAGTCATAGAGGACCAACGGAAATTCCACCGCCATACTGCGAGAGATGACACGTGTGAGGTGAGCGCAACCTACCCCACCCGTGTCCGCCAACACACCACGGCCACACCCGTGTCCGCCAACACACCACGGCCACACCCCTGACCCAATCCACCTCATCAAACTGGCAGTCATAGAGGACCAACGGAAATTCCACCGCCATACTGCGAGAGATGACACGTGTGAGGTGAGCGCAACCTACCCCACCCGTGTCTGCCAACACACCACGCCCACACCCGTGTCCGCCAACACACCACGGCCACACCCCTGACCCAATCCACCTCATCAAACTGGCAGTCATAGAGGACCAACGGAAATTCCACCGCCATACTGCGAGAGATGACACGTGTGAGGTGAGCGCAACCTACCCCACCCGTGTCCGCCAACACACCACGGCCACACCCGTGTCCGCCAACACACCACGGCCACACCCCCCCTGACCCAATCCACCTCATCAAACTGGCAGTCATAGAGGACCAACGGAAATTCCACCGCCATACTGCGAGAAATGACACGTGTGAGGTGAGCGCTACCTACCCCACCCGTGTCCGCCAACACACACCACCCCGCCACACCCCGCGTCCGCAAACACACCACGGCCACACCCCTGACCCAATCCACCTCATCAAACTGGCAGTCATAGAGGACCAACGGAAATTCCACCGCCATACTGCGAGAGATGACACGTGTGAGGTGAGCGCTACCTACCCCACCCGTGTCCCCCCAACACACCACCGCCACACCCGTGTCCGCCAACACACCACGGCCACACCCCTGACCCAATCCACCTCATCAAACTGGCAGTCATAGAGGACCAACGGAAATTCCACCGCCATACTGCGAGAGAGGACATGTGTGAGGTGAGCGCAACCTACCCCACCCGTGTCCGCCAACACACCACGGCCACACCCGTGTCCGACAACACACCACCAGCCACACCCCGTGTCCAACAACACACCACAGCCACACCCCTATGTCCGCCAACACACCACGGCCACACCCCTATGTTCGACAACACACCACAGCCACAGCCCTATGTCCGCCAACACCGACACCTACCCCACCCGAGTCCGCCAACACACCACGGCCACACCCCCCCTGACCCAATCCACCTCATCAAACTGGCAGTCATAGAGGACCAACGGAAATTCCACCGCCATACTGCGAGAGATGACATGTGTGAGGTGAGCGCAACCTACCCCACCCCCCGTGTCCGCCAACACACCCCCCCAGCCACACCCGTGTCCGACAACACACCACGGCCACACCCCTATGTCCGCCAACACACCACGGCCACACCCCTATGTCCGCCAACACCCCACGGCCACACCCGTATGTCCGCCAACACCGACACCTACCCCACCCGTGTCCGCCAACCACCCACACCCCCCGGCCACACCCAGTGTCCCCCTAACAACACACCACGGCCACACCCCTATGTTCGACAACACACCACAGCCACACCCCTATGTCCGCCAACACCGACACCTACCCCACCCGTGTCCGCCAACACACACCACGGCCACACCCCTGACCCAATCCACCTCATCAAACTGGCAGTCATAGAGGACCAACGGAAATTCCACCGCCATACTGCGAGAAATGACACGTGTGAGGGAGCGCTACCTACCCCACCCGTGTCCGCCAACACACCCACCGCCACACCCCCGTGTCCGCCAACACACCACAGCCACACCCCTATGTCCGCCGACACCTACCCCACCCGAGTCCGCCAACACACCACGGCCACACCCCCCCCCCCGTCCGCCAACACCGACACCTACCCCACCCGTTTCCGCCAACGCACCATGGCCACACCCCTATGTCCGCCACCACACCACAGCAACACCCCTATGTCCGCCAACACACCACAGCCACACCCCTATTTCCGCCAACACCGACACCTACCCCACCCGTGTCCGCCAACACACCACGGCCACACCTCTATGTCTGCCAACACCGACACCTACCCCACCCGTGTCCGCCAACACACCACGGCCACACCCCTGTGTCCGCCAACACACCACAGCCACACCCCCCTGTGTCCGCCAACACCGACACCTACCCCACCCCTGTGTCCGCCAACACACCACGGCCACGCCCCTGTGTCCACCAACACACCACAGCCACACCCCCCCCCGCCAACACCCCCCCACCGGCCACACCCGTGTCCGCCAACACACCACGGCCACGCCCCTGTGCCCGCCAACACACCACGGCCACGCCCCTGTGCCCCGCCAACACACCACGGCCACGCCCCTGTGCCCGCCAACACACCACGGCCACCCCCTGTGCCCGCCAACACACCACGGCCACGCCCCTGTGCCCGCCCCCCCCCCCCCCCCCCCCCCCCCCCCCCCCCCCCCCCCCCCCCCCCCCCCCCCCCCCCCCCCCCCCCCCCCCCCACACCACGGCCACGCCCGTGTCCGCCAACACACCACGGCCACGCCCGTGTCTGCCAACACACCCACGGCCACGCCCCTGTGCCCGCCAACACTGACACCTACCTTACCTGTGTCCAACACACCACGGCCACGCCCCTGTGTTCGCCAATACACCACGGCCACACCCGTGTCCGCTGACACCTACCCCACCCATGTCTGCAAACACACCACGGCCACGCCCGTGTGGCCGCCAACACACCACGGCCACACCCGTGTCTGCTGACACCCTACCCCACCCGTGTCTGCAAACACACCACGGCCACGCCCGTGTGGCCGCCAACACACCACAGCTGCACCCCTGTGTCCGCCAACACACCACAGCCACCCCCCTGTGCCCACCAGCACACCACAGCCCCTCTCCCCTGCCAAGCATTCCACCACCCATACCTACCACCATGAAGCCCCCTACTCCTGTACCCATCACCATAGCCCAGTCCACCCTTGCACCTATCATACACCTGCCCCCTCCCCCCTTCATGCTCTCTCTACACCCTCCTCACTTGTATTGGGGCTTGCACGGGTTCTTCTCCACATTCAGAAGTTCTTTGATCACCTCGGGCTCCTCCTTGCCCTGTCCAATCAGGAACAGGACTCCCATAATGCAGCGCACCTGGTGGTAGAGGAAGGCCAATCCTTTGATCTGAAGATGGTAGAGCTGGAAGGGGCCGTCCTCCCCAGGGACATCTGGAACAGGCTCCACCCTGGCACTGAGCACCGTGCGGATGAAATTCATCACCCCATTGGCCACGTCCATTTTGCAGAGATTTCGAAAATCGTGAGTCCCCTCCAGCATGCGGGCGGCGCGGTCCATGGCCTCCACATCCAGCTCAGCGCGAGGGAATGAGTAGCGGTACGTCCGGGAACGGCAGCTAAAGCGGGCGCTGAAGGTGGAGGGAACCACGGCCCAGCTCAGCACCCGGATATCCGCAGGAAGAACGCGATTCAACATCTGCGCATAGCGGACGGCGGCCTTCCCCTCCGGGGCCGAGCGCAGGTCAAGGGAGATCACCTGGGGAGGGCAAGAGGGGTAAGTGGACTATACCAGACCCTCCCCCGGGGTCTGACACCCAGCGACCACCCCCACTCTCCCAGGTCCGACACCCAGCGACCAACCCCACTCTCCGACACCCCAGACCCCAAGGATTCCAACACCCATCGACCACCCCCAATCTCCCAGGTCCAACACCAAGCCACCCCCTCCCTGGTCCCACACCCAGCCCCCCCCTCCCAGGTCCAACACCAAGCCACCCCCTCCCTGGTCCCACACCCAGCCACCCCCCTCCCAGGTCCAACACCAAGCCACCCCCCTCCCTGGTCCCACACCCAGCCACCCCCCTCCCAGGTCCCACACCCAGCCACCCCCTCCCTGGTCCGACACCCAGCCACCCCCCTCCCAGGTCCAACACCAAGCCACCCCCTCCCTGGTCCCACACCCAGCACCCCCCTCCCAGGTCCAACACCAAGCCACCCCCTCCCTGGTCCCACACCCAGCCACCCCCCTCCCAGGTCCCACACCCAGCCACCCCCTCCCTGGTCCGACACCCAGCCACCCCCTCCCTGGTCCGACACCCAGCCACCCCCCTCCCCCAGGTCCAACACCAAGCCACCCCCTCCCTGGTCCCACACCCAGCCACCCCCCTCCCAGGTCCCACACCCATCCACCCCCCTCCCAGGTCCCACACCCATCCACCCCCCTCCCTGGTCCCACACCCAGCCACCCCCCTCCCTGGTCCCACACCCAGCCACCCCCTCCCAGGTCCCACACCCAGCCACCCCCTCCCAGGTCCCACACCCAGCCACCCCCCTCCCTGGTCCCACACCCAGCCACCCCCTCCCTGGTCCAACACCCCAGCCACCCCCTCCCAGGTCCCACACCCATCCACCCCCCTCCCAGGTCCCACACCCAGCCACCCCCTCCCAGGTCCCACACCCAGCCACCCGCTTCCTGGTCCCACACCCATCCACCCCCCTCCCAGGTCCCACACCCAGCGACCAACCCCACTCTCCGACACCCCAGACCCCAAGGATTCCAACACCCAGTGACCACCCCCACTCTCCCAGGTCCCACACCAACCCACCCCCTCCCTGGTCCCACACCCAGCCACCCCCCCTCCCAGGTCCCACACCCATCCACCCCCCTCCCTGGTCCCACACCCAGCCACCCCCCTCCCAGGTCCCACACCCAGCCACCCCCCTCCCAGGTCCCACACCCAGCCACCCCAGACCCCAAGGATTGCGACACCCAGCCACCCCAAACCCCAAGGATTCCGACACCCAGCCACCCCAAACCCCAAGGATTCCGACACCCAGCCACCCCAGACCCCGAGGATTCCGACACCCAGCCACCCCAGACCCCAAGGATTCCGACACCCAGCCACCCCAGACCCCAAGGATTCCGACACCCAGCCACCCCAGGGTCCTATACCCTGTGATATCCTCCCCCCCCCCACATGGCACCTCACCTGTCCCAGCGCACTGACACCCCCGGTCGGTCCTCCCGCAGCGGTGGTAGTTGGCCGTCTGCCTGTTCTCCACCAGCCGGGTCTTGGTCAGGGCGTTGAAGATGACCTCCTCCACCGTGTTGCTGGTGTTCTCCTGGCTGGCGAAGCCTTGGTAGTTCCAGCCGAGGTACGCCAGCCGCAGCGCCACATGCTTCCTGGGGTGGGCGGAGAAATCAAAGGGACGCTGCGAGCGCTGCTTCGCCGACTGACCACCCTTCCGTGATTTGTCCCCGTCCTGTACACCCCCTGCTGGTGACTCCTCCAGGTGACGGAGCTCCGCCTCCAACTGACGCACCCTCTCCTTCAAGATGATGACCTCCTCCTCTGCAGACATGGTGGAGCTGAAAGGAGAGCGGGGGATGGTCAGTAATAGATACCCGGGGAACAATACGCTAAGAGGGGTGGTAGTGGCGGACTGGGGTACGGGGAGGACGGGAAGGTGTTGGGGTACGGGGAGGACGGGAAGGTGTTGGGGTACGGGGAGGACGGGAAGGTGTTGGGGTACGGGGAGGGTAGTGGGGTATGGGGAGGGGGGTACGGGAAGGTGTTGGGGTACAGAGAGGGTGTTGGGGTACGGGGAGGACGGGAAGGTGTTGGGGTACGGGGAGGACGGGAAGGTGTTGGGGTACGGGGAGGGTGTTGGGGTACGGGGAGAAAGAGGGGAGGGGGTACGGGAAGGTGTTGGGGGAGGGGGTACGGGAAGGTGTTGGGGTACGGAGAGGAGGAAGGGAGGGTGTTGGGGTACGGTTGAGTGTGTGTTGGGGTACGGGGAGGGGAGGATGTTGGGGTACGGGGAGAATGTTGGTCGGTATTCGGACACAGAAGCCGCCTCACCTCTTCCCGCCCCCGGGATCCGCTCTCCCGCCACTTCCGGCCGCGGCTGATGACGTAAATTTGTTGCCTGGAGACACTGCAGAGACCCACCGCTCACTTCCGGTGTACTGAGGGGACCGTTACCGACTGAGTGGAAGACAGAGGTGAGAGAACCCGGAACACCGACCTCCCCCCCATATATACCGACACTGACCCCCTCCATATGTCTACACCGGCCCCCTCCCCTCTATGTATACCGACACCGCCCCCCCCCCCCTATGTATAACCGACACCGGCCCCCTCCCCCCTCTATGTATACCCCCGGCCCCCTCCCCCCTCTATATATACCGACACCGGCCCCCCCCCTATGTATACCGACACCGCCCCCCCCCCCTATGTATACCGACACCGCCCCCCCCCCCCTATGTATACCGACACCCGCCCCCCCCCTCTATGTATACCGACACCGCCCCCCCCCTCTATATACCGACACCGCCCCCCCCCCCCCTACCGCCCCCCCCCCCCCCTATGTATACCGACACCGCCCCCCCCCTCTATGTATACCGACACCGCCCCCCCCTATGTATACCGACACCGGCCCCCCCCGTCTATGTATACCGACACCGCCCCCCCCCTCTATGTATACCGACACCGCCCCCCCCCCCTCTATGTATACCGACCCGACACCCCCCCCCCCCCTCTATGTATACCGACACGCCCCCCCCCCCCCCCCCTCTATGTATACCGACACCCGCCCCCCCCCTCTCTATGTATACCGACACCGCCCCCCCCCTCTATGTATACCGACACCCGCCCCCCCCCCCTATGTATACCGACACCGCCCCCCCCCCTCTATGTATACCGACACCGCCCCCCCCCCCTCTATGTATACCGACACCGCCCCCCCCCCCTCTATGTATACCGACACCGCCCCCCCCCTCTATGTATACCGACACCGCCCCCCCCCCTCTATGTATACCGACACCGGCACCCCCCCCCCCCTATGTATACCGACACCGCCCCCCCCCCCTATATGTATACCGACACCGCCCCCCCCCCCCCTCTATGTATATACCCGACACCCCGCCCCCCCCCCTCTATGTATACCGACACCGCCCCCCCCCCCCCCTCTATGTATACCGACACCGCCCCCCCCCCTCTATGTATACCGACACCCCCCCCCCCCCCTCTATGTATACCGACACCCGCCCCCCCCCCTAATGTATACCGACACCGCCCCCCCCCCTCTATGTATATACCCGACACCGCCCCCCCCCCCTCTATGTATACCGACACCGGCCCCCTCCCTCTATGTATACCGGCCCCCCCCCCCCCTCTATGTATATGTATACCGACACCGCCCCCCCCCCCCCTCTATGTATACCGACACCCCCCCCCCCCTCTATGTATACCGACACCGGCCCCCCCCCGGCCCCCCCCCCCTCTATGTATACCGACACCGGCCCCCCTCCCCTATGTATACCGACACCGGCCGCCCCCCCCCCCCCCTCTATGTATACCGACACCGACGCCCCCCCCCCCTATGTATACCGACACCGGCCCCCCCCCCTCTATGTATACCGACACCCTCCGGCCCCCCCCCCCTCTATGTATACCGACACCGGCCCCCTCCCCTCTATGTATACCGACACCGCCCCCCCCCCCCCTCTATGTATACCGACACCGGCCCCCCCCCCCCTCTATGTATACCGACACCGGCCCCCCTCCCCTCCCCTATGTATACCGACACCGCCCCCCCCCCCCCTCTATGTATACCGACACACGCCCCCCCCCCCCTCTATGTATACCGACACCGCCCCCCCCCTCTATGTATACCGACACCGCCCCCCCCCCCCCCCCCTATGTATACCGACACCGGCCCCCTCCCCTCTATATACCGACACCGGCCCCCCCCCCCCTCTATGTATACCGACCGACACCGGCCCCCCCCCCCTCCCCCCCCTCTATGTATACCGGCCCCCCCTCCCCCCCCCCCTCCCCTATGTACACCGACACCGCCCCCCCCTATGTATACCGACACCGGCCCCCCCCCCCCCCCTCTATGTATACCGACACCGGCCCCCTCCCCCGACACCGCCCCCCCCCCTCTATGTATACCGACCCGGCCCCCTCCCCCCCTCTATGTATACCGGCCACCCCCCCCCCCCCATGTATACCGACACCCGCCCCCCCCCCCCCTTTGGTTGTTCCTTCCCCCCGTCCCCCTCATCTCCTCACACTGATCTCCGGTGACATTCCTGGGCTGGTAAATGACTTTGGACTCCTCTCTTCTCTTTGCAGAATCTCATCTGAAGAGGATCTCCTCCAGAACCATGCAGCGCGGTATCAGACATTCCTCGGGCCACTCCCCGCCCCTTGGCTCGGGCCACTCCCCGCCCCTTGGCTCGGCCACTCCCCGCCCCTTGGCTCGGGCCACTCCCCGCCCCTTGGCTCGGGCCACTCCCCGCCCCTTGGCTCGGGCCACTCCCCGCCCCTTGGCTCGGGCCACTCCCCCCCCTCGGCTCGGGCCACTCCCCGCCCCTTGGCTCGGGCCATTCCAGCTCTTCTCCTGCGGATGTCGGTCTCTGAGGACGATCTGCGCACAGAGCTGTCTCTGCTGGGATTCCCCGCCATTCCCAGACACAGACTGTTGCAGTTCAAGGAAGACCTGGAGCAGCTGATGAGGAGCCGGGGAGGATCGGAGACCAACTCCGGGGACTCGGCCCAATCTGACAAGGAGAATATCCCATCCCTTCTACCAGCCTGTTCGCACTTGGGGCGAGCTGTCTGCCTGGCCTGTGAATGTCTCCAGTCCCAGCCAGGGTGAGCCGGACGCCTACAGCAAACACACGGTCAGTGTGGAGAGGAGGAGAGCGGTGGCCGTAACACGTAAAGTCCTGCGCAGGAGAAGTGATGGGCAGGTGGAGGTGTGTGATGAGTCCTCGCTGTCCAGTGAGGTGGAGGAATCCCGAATCCCGTCCCGGCGCTCCCCTCCCTTGTCTGCGGACTGCGTCCCATCCTTCATTCGGATGCCGCCATACTCCCTGCTGGAGCAGTACAGACAACACACTCGGACCCGGTCAGCCGCTTCCATGAATACAAGCAGAGCTGGAACGCCGTACAGAGAGTGCTGGAACGCAGCAGGAAGGAGGTCCGGTGGGGGGTCCGCGAGAGGATGATGTCAGCTCCGCCCCCACCTCTTCCACGCCCCCTCCCAACACCAAACACCTACACCATCCCCACCGATAAGAAGAGGTATGGCCTACGCTGGGCCATTCGCCAAGACCTGGTGAACGGCAATATCCCGCGTGCCGGCGGCTCCTGATCCGGATCCGGTTCCGGTGTGCCCAGACTCTCCCATTGTGTGCTTTGTGTGTTTTATAATGAATTCTATCACTTTTGTTAGGAAATCTCTTTATTAAGTAAATAAAAGGCGGAGTTATAAAATAGAAACATTCTGTGCGTGTGTCCTGCACCCGGGGAGCGGTAATACTGGAGGTCGGCCTCCTAGCCGCTCAATCACAAGGTCCCAAGGGCCTCCCCCATATAGATGCGTCCACCATCCTTCATGTGGAACCTGAAATGGCGAGGAGCTTCGAACACCAGCACAATGGTAGAGCCAAAGTTAAACTCTCCTAGGGGGGCCCCCTGGTCAGGACCAGGCCGGAGGGGCCATACTGCTCCGTGTAGTTGTGGTCATGATACTTTCCCTTCACGTGGCGGGAGTGGTTGGTGTGGAGTTCCTGCAATGAGAAAACAGAGATTAAAGAGAAGGCGGACCCCCAACTAATACATAGAAGGCAGAGCAGTGCCCCTCCAGTCCAGGACTCCACACCAGCATGTCACTCAATGCTCCGCCCCCACGCTGTCCTATTGGTAGCCCAGGACTCCACACCAGCATGTCACTCAATGCTCCGCCCCCACGCTGTCCTATTGGTAGCCCAGGACTCCACCCCAGCATGTCACTCAATGCTCCGCCCCCCACGCTGTCCTATTGGTAGCCCAGGACTCCACACCAGCATGTCACTCAATGCTCCGCCTCCACGCTGTCCTATTGGTAGCCCAGGACTCCACACCAGGTCACTCCACCGCCCCCCCAGCTGTCCTATTGGTAGCCCAGGACTCCCACACCAGCATGTCACTCAATGCTCCGCCTCCACGCTGTCCTATTGGTAGCCCAGGACTCCTATTGGTAGCCCACTCCACACCAGCATGTCACTCAATGCTCCGCCCCCACGCTGTCCTATTGGTAGTCCACTCCAGCATGTCACTCAATGCTCCGCCTCCACGCTGTCCTATTGGTAGCCCAGGACTCCACACCAGCATGTCACTCAATGCTCCGCCCCCACGCTGTCCTATTGGTATCTCAGTACTCCACACCAGCATGTCACTCAATGCTCCGCCCCCACGCTGTCCTATTGGTAGCCCAGGACTCCACACCAGCATGTCACTCAATGCTCCGCCCCCACGCTGTCCTATTGGTAGCCCAGGACTCCACACCAGCATGTCACTCAATGCTCC